GTCTAGCTTTTGTCAACTTTGGTGCAATATATTTAACGCCATCTTACAAAATTAAATTAAAAATATGACAAACACAAAGCACGTGAAATTTTTTTGCATCAAAATCGAGTTGGTTAATCAAATTTTTTGTAACGTTAGTGTTAACATTATCATTATCAAAGTGAAACTATCGACTTTTTCTTTGCAAAAAAAAAAAAAAAATTCTCGTCATACGTCAATTAAAATATGAAACTATTATGTACGTTGTGTGGAAATTCAATGACCTTAAACGCACTGTCCCGTCCAACTATTCCACATTCTTCCTTCTCATTCTTGTTATTTCCCCAATGATCTATCCTTTTGCACTCCTCAATATCAGGTGGTTGTTTGAGTGGAACATTCATGGTGAAGTTTTGTTGTTTTTCTTCCACCATCAAGTTTAATTCACACTTTTCAAAATCCATTAACACTCATGCAGTTGCTGGGAATGGTCTCCCCAAAATTAATGGTATGTGTTGAGCATCTATATCAAGGATGATGAAATCTGCAGGAAAGAAGTTATCTCCAACTTTGATGAGTATATCATATACCACTCCATAAGGATGCTTGAGTGTCCTATCAACCAGCTATATGATTATTGATGTTGTTTTTAGATCATCCAATCCTAATTTTCTGTAGATAGACAGTGTCATCAAATTAATACTTTGCTCCAGAATCAATTAAAACATTTAAATTATTTGAGTTTACTATAGAATAAGGTACAGTGAAAATCCCTGTATCTTTTAGTTTAGGAGTGAACATATGCTTTATGATTGCACTGTACTCTTCTGTTAGAACTACTGTTTCATCTACTGGCAACTTTCGCTTTTTTGTCAACATTTTGCTCAAAAACTTAGCATAATTTGGAATTTGTAGGATTGCGTCATTGAAAGGTATGTTTTTATATAAAGGTTCCTTAGGGAATCTAAGAAACTCATAAATTGCTTCTCTAATTTGTTATTCTGCAACATTCAGAGAAAATGGGACTAGAGGGATATTAGATTGACATGAAAGATTTTCTTATCTTGTGGGTTGTCTGAATGTTCTTCCTTATTGACTTTTGTTGATTTTTCAGACTGAACCACTTGTTCTTGTGCGTGGTAGATACTTGATTCTCCTCAATCACTTTCCTTTTTACACTGATTTATAGCAGCTGAACTCCAATTCTCATTGTGATGGTTGGACCTGTTCTTCTTTTTAATGCTTTCGTATCCTTTTAAGGAATGGGATATGTGGCGCATACTCTTGTATAGGCATAGAAAACTTGATCGATGGAGCTCCAATCTGCCCACTTGATTTTCCAAATTTTTAATAGGGACATATTAATGTTGGAATGAAGTTTCAGTCTTTGTGATGTACTAAACAAGTAGATTGTTCAAAATGACATCTTCTCTTCTTACTATTAAAATCCTTGCTGGTTTCCTTGAAATTTATTTCTTTGATCCTGATTATTAGCCCATGAAAAGTTTGGATGATTTTCAACCTGAATCATACGTGTTGGAGTAAAAGTTGTGTTGTTGCCTCTAAAAGTTCTGCGCATAACTAGCTTCCTCAGGCTGGATTACATGCATGTAGGCTAAATGACAACTTGTAGTAGTATGATCTAGTGTTGGCTAGTATACCATGTTCACAATCTAAGTTAGTTGTCCAACTTTATTATTAATACTTCCAACAGGGCCGCCAATGATGTAACTACATCAATGTTGGGAATGCCCATTTATTTTTGTCTATTAGTTACATATACTGATTTTCTACTATTCTTTCATACTGTTTATATGTGTTTTCGATGTGTATATTTATCACCGATCCTTCTACTGAAGCATCTCCATGTTACGATATTTATGATACAAGCTTGAATAGAAGATGTAGACTTGGGCCAGTTTAGTAATGCCTAGATTGAGACACTTTCTGAAATAGTCATTGAATCTTTCCCATGCTTCTAGGTAATTCTCAAGATCTCTCTACTTGAAAGTGCGTATCTCATTTCTAATATGATGAACACGAGACAACATAAAGAATTTCAGGGTGAATTTATGGCATTAAATCATTCCAAGACACGATACTCTCAGAAGGTAGTGAGCGTAGCCATTCTCTTGTGCCATCCTTTAAAATATGAGCAAATAGACTCATTCGAAATATGTATGCTAATTACCTTGCAAAGCATAAAGAAGACATGTATAAATTGATGCAAATTTTCAGTTGGCTTCCCAAAGAACTAGATGTCATAATGATTTCGAAACAAGTTAATGATATCTGGTCTAAGGTGGAAGTTGGCATGCCCAATAGAAGGATATATAATGTCTAGTTGTATAGGCAGCTACGAGATTCCTTACTGATGCTTCACCATCGTCGGTGACTGCTCTTGGTAGAACTGACTGTACTGGCAGAATTGGTGGTAACTAAACATGTTCTAGGCAGGTACTGTACTGGCAGAATTGGTGGTAACTAAACATTTTCTGCCAATCTCTGTTCTCTTCTTTTTGGCCTAAAGGTCCTTTCAATCTCGGAATCTAACAATAGGAGCTCAATTTCATCAGGATCTTGCATAAACTGAAATAAGGTACTTGAAAAGAAATCAAACAAAAGAGAGAATTGGGTAATTAATAGCAAAAAATAATTAAAAATTATTTTGAATCTAAAACAAATTAATAAATTCACCTTAAATAACTTATTCTCCGACAACAAAGCCAAAAACTAAACACGCAAGCGTACGAGATCATTGACAAGTAATAATGTGATGAGTTGAAATTATCGTCCCAGGAGAATCATCTTTACATTGAATTGTATTCATTTGTAATCAAATTCTCATATGTATAATACAAATAAAATTTTATTCTGATAATTTCTAAATTAATCTACTAATTAATAATTATGAAAAAGCTTTGTTGTATTGGACTCGTTAATAAACCTATTTTATCTAATTTTCAATCCTCAACCTATGTAGCTAATGATATTTTTGTGTTCTTGTCAATCGATAATTCAATTATATTTAACTATCTCTCCTGAGGTAAGTTAATCCTATTCATCTTTTCTTTTGTTAAGTACTGAAACACAAACATGGTGGCTTCCATATTTGTGAACTTTGTGTCAAGAAGTGCTAGAGGAATTCCTCTTCTCAAAATTTTCGACAAATTTCTCAATTTTTAAGGAAAATTTCTATCTTCTCGTTTGCTTCCAAACTTTCTAGTAGAATTTTTTCCTCATTTTGGTAGCTAGCCTCTCTATTTTGGTAGAGGGAAATGTTCAAAAAAATTTCATTTTTGATAGCCATTTGAATGTGGTGAGAACATGGTTAAAATATTATTTTTTATAGATAGCTTCAGTCTGTTATTCTCAAAACCCGACGACGTACATGGCCAACAAAATCCTGGCCATCTCGCCGTTCACCTGGACGCTGGAACTTCGTTAGGGTGCAATGGTCACTAGTCGAAAAAATGGTCCGACAACTGTTTGTACTTCAACATTCTACTCAATGGTTAGAAAAGAGAGAATAAGTGGAGGAAACATGTGAGGGGAATTTGGCTAGAAGGGAAATGAGCCAAATGGGGCTAATGGACCAAGCTCAAACCCAAGCCTACAGGGAGTTTAGTGGATTTGATTGACCCAATCCTATTAACCTATTTGATGCAAAGTCGCCAATTTGTTATACGGAAAATTTCATAACGAAGAGATTAAGGTTCACAAATTTCAAATTTAAGAGATAAGATTTAAAATTTAAAATTTCAGATTTTTTAAAGTTTAAAATTTCAAATCTCACATTTTTTTAGATTTTATTTATAAATTAATTAATTAAACATATATTTTATTAATTAAATATATTAAGGTCATAATTCTATATAATTAGGTCACAAATTCTATATAATTGGTCACATATTATTAATTTGTCACAAATCACAAATTTTATGTCACAAATTATTTTATAGTCACAATTCAAAAATTTTATAAGTCACAATTTGTTCATCGTTCACAAATAAAAAATTTAATCGTCATAAATTATTTTACGGTCACAATTCAAAAATTTTATATGTCACAATTTGTTCATCGGTCACAGATCGAAAATTTTATAAGTCACAAATCAGAAATTTTATAGGTCACAAATTATTTTACGGTCACAGTTCAGAAATTTTATAAGTCAAAATTTGTTCATCGGTCACAAATAAAAAAAAATTATATTTAACAACTTATTCATCGGTCACAAATCACAAATATTATAAGTCACGACTTAGTAGACAGCCACAAATTATCAAATTATCGGTCACAAAGTAACAATTTTTTAGGTCACAATTTATCTTTTTCATTGGTCACATATTATTTATTGGTCACAGATTAACCAATTTAATTGTCACAAACGACCAAATAATCTGTGACCACCACCAACTTGTAACCACCACCTCACCACTCCCTCCATCAGTACCATTGCCATCGTCGTTGCCAGAACCACCATCACCACACGTTCAAAACGTACCACCACCATACACCGCACCTCAAACAAATCAACACCACCGCTAACGTCGCCACTAGAACCACTACCACCATCTCAAACAAATCCGCACGTGGCAAAACGTCACGCCAGATCCACCACTACCACCACCTCACCTCACCTCCACAACACAGCTACCAAATCAGGACGCAGAGCACAGACACACCATGACCACTGCCAAATCCATCGCCACCAACTCTAGATCCACCATCAGTAGCACTCGATCCACCACTGCCACTAAAACCACCCAAACATCACCACACCATGGAAACCACCACCACCAACAAACAAAAATAACCAAACCTAGTGTGGTCCCCATCCTTCACGCCCAAAATATCTCAAAACCACGGCGGCACATCGCCGCTGCGAGTGCGGTGGTTCTAATCGGTGACCCTCGCGCAATGGCATAGCCCCTTCTGGTATCTCGCGAGACTGTGCAATCTGTGGACGTGCTATATCGATGCAGTGGTGAGAGGTTGGGCTGTCGGCGGAGAGGGAGGAGATGACTGCGTTGTCTGTAGATATGGTATCTCGCGAGGCTGCGCCATCTGTGGAGGCGATGTATCGCGGCGTTGGTGCGTGGGCTGCTAGAGAAGATGGCGGAGATGAGGATTGGTAGAGAGAGTGAGAAGAGATTACAGTGAGAAGAAAAGATGAGGAGGATGAATTAAAAAAAATAATTGCTAGGGTTTGGGGGAAATTAATNATATATATATATATATATATATATGACAAAATCCATCAAATTAATATTCTTAACAATGCCTTGGATCAAAATATCAAATTGAAAACTTGATTTTTATATTGTCTTCATATCTTCGTTTCATTTTATTATACAACAAAAATAATAAGAATTTATGATTTCAATAGCAAACACGAGGAAGTGACCTACGTAGTTTATGGAAGGAAGTGTATAAACCATGGTTTTACACTTCGAGCTGCTATAACATTCTATACAGTCTGTGCAATCATCTTTATGTCTGCTATTGCTTTGTCGCTACGGACACTTATCTTTCCTACGCCGCTATCTGTATTTCGTAAATTGTGTTCTTCATCACCAGTTCATCTAGATCACCTGTTCTCCTCTAATACGAATCTCTGCAGTACTTTCCACACATTTGATCCAGAAACCTACTACACATCCCTTCTTGAAAAATCGGTCATCAAAATCCATCTCAATCAAATTCACGCACAGTTATACACCAACGGCCTCCAAAACAATGGTTTTATAATCGCCAAATTTATCCATGTAAGCTCAAATCTTAGAGAAATTAGTTATGCCCACAAAGTGTTTGATGAATTCCAGGACCCCTATGTTTTCCTGTGGAATGCGATTATCAAGGGGTATTCCGTGCACGACATGTTTGCAAACGCCATTGAAATGTACACAAGAATGCAATATGCCTACGTGAATCCAGATTCATTTACGTTTCCCCATGTGCTTAAAGCTTGTGGTGGCTTAATGGCTGTTGGCATTGGTAGTGCGGTTCATGCACAGAGTTTTAGACTTGGGTTTGAGGACGACGTATTTGTGCAAAACGGGCTCGTGGCATTCTATGTTAAGTGTAACAAAATTTGCTGTGCTGGTAATGTTTTTGATGGGTTACATGACAGGAGTGTTGTTTCATGGACTTCTATTATTTCTGGGCATGCTCAGAATGGGCAGCCTATGGAGGCCTTGAGGATTTTCAGTAAAATGAGAGTATCAAATGTGAAACCTGATTGGATTACTTTGGTTAGCATTCTAAAAGCTTATTCTGACGTAGAGGATTTAGAACAGGGAAGAAGTATCCATGGCTTGGTTATCAAAGTGGGACTTGAATTTGAGCTTGACTTGCGGATAGCACTTACTGCTATGTATGCTAAATGTGGGCAGGTGATTGTTGCGAAATCATTGTTTGATCAAATGAAGATTCACAACGTGATTCTTTGGAATGCCATGATGTCTGGATTTGCTAAAAATGGTTATGCAGATGAAGCCTTGGAGCTTTTTAGTGAGATGATATCCAATAGCATTCAGCCTGATGCTGTCTCTGTACAGTCTGCTGTCTTGGCTTCTGCCCAATTGGGGTCACTTGATCAAGCAAGATGGATGCATAACTTTGTTAATAATAGTGAGTACAGAGGTGACATTTTTGTGAGCACAGCTCTCATTGACATGTACGCAAAATGTGGAAGTGTAGAGCTTGCTCGCCATGTATTTAACAGTACTCTAAATAAAGATGTAGTCGTATGGAGTGCAATGATAGTGGGTTATGGATTACATGGGTGGGGAAGAGAGGCTATTGATCTTTTTGGCATAATGAACCAAGCTGGGGTGCGCCCTAATGATGTCACATTCGTTGGTCTCCTAACAGCATGCAATCATTCTGGTCTCATAGAAGAGGGGTGGAAATTTTTCCACAGCATGAAGGATTATGGTGTCGAGCCCAACGACCAGCATTATGCTTCCGTGGTTGACCTTTTAGGCCGTGCAGGATACATAGAAAAAGCATACAATTTTATCTTGAATATGCCCATTGAACCTACTGTTTCAGTTTGGGGAGCTCTTTTGAGTGCATGTAAGATCTATCGCCATGTTTCAATTGGGGAATATGCAGCAGAGAGACTTTTCTCTCTAGACCCATCAAATACAGGCCACTATGTGCAACTTTCAAATCTATATGCTTCAGCCTGCATGTGGGCTGGTGTTGCAAAAGTCAGAGTACTGATGAGGGAGAAAGGATTAAGTAAAGATGTGGGATATACTATGATTGAGATTGATGGGAAGCTTCAGGCTTTTCGAATGGGAGACAAGTCTCATCCAAGATCAAGAGAAATATATAAAGAGCTCGAGAGGTTAGAGACGAGATTATTGGAGACTGGATTTGTCCCAGATACAGAATCATCTTTGCACGACTTAGACAAAGAAGACAAAGAGGTTACTCTGTGTAATCATAGTGAGAGATTAGCAATTGCCTATGGTCTTATTAGTACACCTCCTGGAGTTACACTTAGGATAACCAAAAATCTGAGGGCATGTGCAAATTGCCATTTAGCAACCAAGTTAATATCAAAGCTTGTTAACAGGAAGATAGTTGTGAGAGATGCAAAGCGGTTCCATCATTTCAAGAATGGCATTTGTTCTTGTGGAGATTATTGGTGAGAACTGTATTTATATTCTTGTGAATTATCACAAATACCTATCCACAAACTAATCTTGGAAAAGGCTGACATGAATGAATCAACTAAATTGTATTAAGGTTCACCTATTTTGAAGTTCTTGATGATTGATATGAGAAATTGATATGTACAGTCTACATAAAAATGCCTTGAGGGGATTAGACCAACAGAGGTTAATGATTCTGAGAACAGCCAGCCCCTATTGCTGATAGAGAGCTTACCACCCCACCCTTTATAATCGCGGCTGTTGTCATGGAAAAATAGTTTGTTTTCTATCAAAGAAGCATGCTTAAAACAGCCTATAGCATAAAGGCATCTAGTTAATTATTTTTCTTCAAATATTTGAGGGAAATTATGATTTAGGATACCTAATAATAAGGGTAGGCTGACAAGATAAAAATATTTTTCATCGTACTTATATTTGTAGATAAAATTTCATATGGATATGGATTTTAAATTTAGATTTATTTCATATAAACTTTTGTCTTAAGATGGCCTTTCGAACCATTTCTATTGAAAACACCAAGAGTTGAGCTTATTTATACAAATTCTAACTAGGAAGAATTAAAGTTGCGTCTCTAACTAATGTGAAATAGACAAAGTAGGTTTGAAACATCATTTTATATCAACCACATCCTCAATGTTTCAATCTCATATGAATTGGGTCCACAGTGGATGGTTTCCATCAACTTGACCACACAAGGCTTTTTTTTTTTTTCCAATAAGATCGTTATACCTAGGGGTGGGCGCAGTTCGGTTTGGGTTGGTTTCGACCCCAACCTGAACCCAAAACCAAATTAGTCGGTTTGGAAAAATTTCGCCCCAAACCAACCCACTTTACCTCTTAAACCGAACCAACCCAAACCAAATCGATTCGGTTAGTCGGTTTAGACTTTTAAATAATATTGCATCATAAAAAATGAAAAATTATGCAAAAAATAATGTATGTCATTCAATTTAACTACTCACACCGACGCAACCAAGAACCAACACATAATCATAACAAAACCGAATTTTCGTCAAGCTTTTTTTCCATCCCAATAGTTCATCTTCATCAACCTAGATATGTTGTGGATATCCATAAGAATAAAAGAGATGCCAAATTACTTTTACTGCACTTAATTAAATATGAACTGCTAAACATATCACAATTATTTCTTTCTTCCATCTCAATAGAAGGCAGGATATGATCAGAATTGAAAACAACCAGAACTAAACATAATCCAAAACCAAGACTAAGAAAATAACCAGAACTAAGCATAATCCAAATTCAAGAGTAAGAAAATAAAATTTATGTTACAAGAAAGAAACTCAAGCACAATGTCTAGATTTTAGGAAAATAAATATCCAGGAAAGTAAAATCCAAATTCCAAAAGTTTTGATTTTGACTTTTCTTTTTTCAAAAAAATAAAAAATAAAAAATAGAAACATGTATAAGTGGGTTGGGTCGGTTAACCAGTGGTTTAAAGCTTTAAACCATGACCAAACCGAACCACCGTGGTTTTGTTTAAAATAAAACCAAACCAAAACAATAACTATGTCAAACCGACCCAAACCGACCCGAGTCGGTTTGGTTCGGTCGGTTTGGTCGGTTTTTTTGCCCACCCCTTTATTTTGAAATTTGAATTAAATAAAAGTAAAAGAAAAGAAAAATATCAGAAACATATACCAAACAAAAAAGGAAAGGAAAAAGTGGAACCTCAACCCCTTCCCACCCTCCCCTATCAGTCCCCAGCCATGCTGCACCACTCCTTGCTTACCAGCTCGCTTGCCCAGACACTGTCCCCGCTATTGCTCCATCACAGTATCTTTCTCTCTTCCCCTATATATATAGTGAATACATATGCTTATATGTTTATATTACTAGCTCACTAAAAATGAATACGCAACTGAATGGATCTAAAAGTTATTTTGGTTATATATTTTTTACAAGGACAAATAAATAGTGTTCATTGTCATATGATTCAACTGAATTCAAACACATAAGAACTGTTGGATCTTAGTGTCGCTAGAGGGCCGACTAGTGGTTGGGCTGTGGTGGGGAGGTGAGGCTATCGGGGTTGGGGGTAGTGGGGCTGTCCATTTTCGTTTGAATTTTATTTTTCAATTTCTTTTTGCTTGGTAGATTTTTCTTCTTTGTTTCTGTTGTTTATTCAAAATAAGGATATAATAAAAAAGATATGCTGATCTATGGTTGATCTCATGTTTTGATTATAACGAACAAATTATTTTATTTCTAACAATTGAATTCAAATTTTCATAGCTAGTATGGTAGAACACAATGATTGCTACCAAAAGACTCGCAATTTATGATCAAAGAAAATCGAGATGGAAGCTGAGCAATCACGTCAAATCAATCGAAGCATTCAGGTCGAATCAAGTATTCATTGAAGGCACTAGACTTAGATGGTTTCAATCTGTATGTGAAAGTAAAATGTTTTACTAATATCATTTATCTTGAAAAGTTAAATGGAAATGTCATTCAAAAGCCTACATCTTTTAAAATAATCAAGAAAAGAAAAATTCGGAAAATTTTTTTCCTAGCGGACGTCCTGTTCGTCCAACGGTCAAAATTTTAACCGTTTTGAATTTTGACGCAAAGCGGCTAATTTTGTTGACTGGTTCAATAAGTGGACATTTGGATGGGTCATCCGGTTAGTCAGAAATTTTGGCGTTTTGACTACTATAAATATCACCATTCAATACAACACTTTAAGAACATTTATATGAGATATTCTTGAGCAACGCTACGTTGAATTATCTTTATCAAATCATTAACTTTGAAAAACTTTTGATTGAATTAACTTTTGATTTCTCACTTAACACTTGAGATTCATTCATTGCTATAAATTAAAGTGTTAGCATATTTCTCTCTTGGTACTTAATTTGATCATATTATTTATTAAGAGAGAAGTTTCAAATTGTAATATTAGCTTTCATTTAAATTTGTGGGTCATGTTGAGGTCCCGTAAAGCTCAATATTGTATAAAGATCGGTGCTCCTTGTTTGTAAGTCACCGGAAGCATTACGTCCTCGTGTTGGAGAGATTGGTAACGGAGGACGTAGATCATTATTTTGGATCGAACATCCACAATTATATCGTTTGTATCATCTCTCCTTTTTACTTATCGCATTTATATTTGTGCTTATTATTTGATTTTATCTTTTTAACCTTAACTTACTTGAATTTATATTAATTCTTCGAAAAAGTTTTAATAACCAATTCACCCCCTCTTGGTTAGTCATTTTTGGACTATCAATTGGTATCAGAGCTAAGTACTCATTTTTAAAAATTAAGATTTTACAATATTGAGCAAATGGCTAACTACAATCTTCAAAATCTTGAGAGACAATCTACTAACCGTCCCCCTTTCTTTGATGGCACGCATTATAATTCTTGAAAGGTAAGATGGTGATATATATTCAATCAATAGATTATAATATATGAGAAGTTATTGAATATTGTCCTTATGTGTCTACCAAGACTATTAAAATTGATGGCCAATCCGATCAAACCATTCCAAAATCTAGGG